CTTTATTGTACATTTCAACTGTCTGGGATATTCTGGAGGGAACCATTACAGACATCAATCTTTGGAGCCATACATACTGATATACACCTGAACATCAGCAGGAGAGGACTCTTTAAAGTAGAGACACTACATACTGATATACACCTGAACATCAGCAGGAGAGGACTCTTTAAAGTAGAGACACTACATACTGATATACACCTGAACATCAGCAGGAGAGGACTCTTTAAAGTAGAGACACTACATACTGATATACACCTGAACATCAGCAGGAGAGGACTCTTTAAAGTAGAGACACTACATACTGATATACACCTGAACATCAGCAGGAGAGGACTCTTTAAAGAAGAGACACTACATACTGATATACACCTGAACATCAGCAGGAGAGGACTCTTTAAAGTAGAGACACTACATACTGATATACACCTGAATATTTGCGTAAAGGGAACTCTTTAAACAGACCTTGTCCTGACCTTTTGCTCTTCATGGAAATCATATTAACTTTCCCTGACTTTGTGCTTGTGTTTGCTCGTCGTATACATGATAAGAAAAGTCCCCGACGCCTCCTGCAGCTGTCACATCGGCTTCCTGGGCCTTCCTCACATTCTTCTCCTTTCTTTTCTTTATTCTGCAGCAAACCAGTAACGTGAGCGCCACGCTGGTTCTGTCCCGGCCCATCTCGGGTCCTCAGGAGGTGGTTCTGGACCTGGAGATGGTCACGGTGAACAACGTCATCAACTTCAGAGGCAGCTCCATCATTCGCGTGACGATATTTGTCGCGGAGCACAAGTTCTGAGCGTCTCAAAGTGAACTCCCTCTGAGAATCAGCTGATGTAATGGTTTGTTTGAGACAGCATCACCTTTTTAAAAAAAAATCATTATGTCATCGTTGTCCGATAAAGTCTCAGCCAAGATCAGCTGATGGGAAAGCCTCTCTGGTTTAATGGACTCTGAGCTTGTATTGCTGCCATATGGACTTCTGAACAGAGGGATGTTTATGGTGTACAATTTCTGACATATTATATTTAGAAAATGACCCAAAAATGATGGAAGTTACCCTCACTAGTACTTGCACCCCCCCCCCTCCCCCCCAGTTGTCTGTGAATGTTCATCTCTTCAGATTAGCTGTGAAATTGCTTTTTTTATGCTTAAATTGAAAAGCTGTCGTTGCATCCTGAGAATCATAACATTGTTTTTTTTATGAGATGTTGATATCTGAGCTGAAGTGTAATTGTGCATTTTGCAGTGGAAATGTTTGAAATGATGTTACAGCCAGGCATTAATTGAATTATTGATCACAGTTTTTTTTTAGAACAATAAATGTCTTCACCACACAATTGTCGCTGGCATCAGCCCACTGAACCTTATTTTGGGATTAAATGTCCTGTTTTATCACAAAAATGTAGGGGAAACACATATTGGGAATTATATTGAATGAGAATGAATGAAAAAATATTTTAATTATATCGGCAAATGTTGTTTTTGCTCCTTGAACAAAAAACTAAATGTGGCATTTTTGGAATTAGCATATTCGAAGTGTGCTACACAAAATATGTTTGATTTGGGTGCACAATAACAACCAATATTTACATTTGCATTACAAAAGTATATCTAATGCATAGGTTTGCAGACATTTTGAATTGGGGGGATTATGGTGTAAAATGTATATATAATTATGGGTCAAAATCAGATCAAATTTGGGTTGTCTGGGCACATAGTAACGCATGTTAAAAGCACATTTTGGAGCACTATTGTTTTCCTTTTGCAATTATAAAAAAAAAAAACATTCATTGTGTTTTTACAAATTCTAAGAAAATGCGGGGGAGGGGCTTGGTTTTAGCCAATTCAGGGGATTTCGACCAACCTTTTTGGAGGACTATAGCATATTTGGAGTATTTGTGAGCTGTGTAACCAATGCTAGGGTTGCAGTAGAACAATTTGTGGTGCTATAGCCAATTTAGAAAAATATATTTGTGACCATAACATATGACAATCTTTCTGCAAAGTATGTCAAACGTAACCAAGGTAAGCCCCCCCC